ATATATTATATCTATCATTTTATATATATAAAAAATTAGGCTTACGTTTACCATGTGATTTCTATGTAAATATAAGGCAACAGTTCTATATGGTAGGTGTTCCCCTTCATTTAGGAAGCACTGTGCTCAGCGCTGGCAACACTGACTTACCTAAACTCATGTAATGGTTTCTATTACTGGGAACTCATTGAGATTTTGACAGCACTCCTATTTGTTGATGTCTGAGCACTTAGAGGTCAGAACAGCTAACACATCAGTCTGCTGTCAATCCTAAATGTCTACATTCACTTGAAATTATTCACTTAACTATAAAAGGTTAGTACTTACCCCTTGATTTTTGGATTGGGACTTAAATGAAGAAAATCCCTTGGTGACAGCTAATGTAGCAACTTCTACAGTATTTATGTGATCTTACAACTGCAATTCTTTTGCACATAAGGAGCCAGAGTAACGGGGCTTTCTGAGGCTTCAGGTTTTGATTTTAGGTTCTTGGCACATACGCTGTTTGTACATAGTACCAGTAAGATAAGCGTACAGATGCTGAGCAAGCTTCCTTGGGACATGGACAAATTAGGTCAGCCTGCCAAGAAATCTAGATTGCTGATTTTAAACAGTAGTGATTAAGATGTATGGAACGGTGAAAATTTGTGTTTAAAGTTCTTTATGTGAGGTTTTTTAAATTTTATGGATTTTTTTAATGATTCATTTGGATGTCTCCTTTATGGGCTAATGCTGAACAAGTGGCTGCAGGGTCTGAATAGAGTCAGTCCCAGTCTTTCCTATGTCCTTGGCCCTGCCTGAGACTCCACAGTGTGCCAGTGCCAGTGGGATCATTTGCTACAAGCTGAACTGAGCCTGTTGATTTATTTCACATAATATCGCATGGCTGCCTTCACATGTCCAGCACCGTGGCAGTAGAGGGTAGCTGAGATTAATCTGTGAGCTACAGCATTTACATGGGAAATAGAGCCCCCAAAAGTGTTGTTTGTTTTGGCCAACCCAGATTTTAGCACTTTGCTTTATGCCAAGGTACCGTATGGATGCCTTTTTGTTATTTCTGGAAGAATTGTTTAGAAATGACTAAAAGAGATGTTGCAGATAGAGGTGTTTATGAGGTAAGGGGTGAGATTTTTTTCAAAAGTGACTTGTCATTTGGGTGCCCGCACTGTGAAGCGTATTACCAGTCAGACGGGGAGCAGTGGTGCTGCTTGTTATAGCACCCTGGCGAAGGTTCATTGTGTTTTATAAAGCAGATCCTTTGGTGGTGTGGCAAGCAAAGCATCTGAAACTACTGGCTGCTGTAGCAAACGCTGACTTCTTGGTGTAACTACTGCCCTGGGTGGGTAGGGCTGGTTTGTTCCCCAGACGCTCACCGAGGACGCTTATCTGGGAATGAGCAAGAGCTGCAAAACATGTCCAGCAGATGCCAGCGCCGTGGAGAGCATTTGGAAGTCTATTTTCTGTCTTTCTGAGGTCGGATGAGTGGTGCCTCTGTTGCTTCTGGCTGCTGATGGCTCCTTTCTCTCTGAGAGGAGGTTGCCCTTGTCCTGCCCAGTTTGACCTGTTGAACAGAGATCTATACCCTGTGCGCTTTATTGCCTAGCAAAAAATTGAATTCCTTAAATTCCCTAAATTAATTTCCTTTGGAATACAGTGTGGCTTAAGCACTTGGCTTGGGGAGCAGCTGTGGCAGTGATTCGTGGTGATCCACTGTGCCCTAACCCACGGGTTGTACCGCCTGGGAATCCTACCCTAAATTAATGCATAGAGGAAAAGTGATTAAAGAAAGGCCCTTTTTCTGTCATTACCTGTGACAAGGTTGGGGTTGGGCATTCCATCAAAGAGTTGTTGTGCAATGGCTTTGTAATTGCTGGGGAGAAGTAGTTCAGTGTATGAATTAATTTCACCAGCAGAAAAAATCAGTGGCTGACTTTTGCAAAGGGAGGTTTAAACTTTATCGTTAAGAGATGATTAAGCTCTGCCTGGATTAAAATAAAGGCTCCACAGATATGGAGGCAGAAGAGACTGAGGCGGTGAATGCAGAGCACTTGGTCTCACTTACCCTGGCATTAGTTAGAGCTGGAGTTTTACCCTGCCACTACTCAGTCCTGCCTTCACCCTGGTCTCTCACTCTGTCTTTCCTTCAGAGATGGGATGGCTTTTGTTTCACAAGGTATTTCTGGAATCTTGCAAATGTGATGTGTCTGTGCTTTTAGGCACAAAAGTGCAAATGCCACCTTTGTTTATTCGGAGATTAATTTAAATTAGATTATTTCCCTCAGCTGCTCACGTCTTAGTTTGTTACAGTAACTCTCATTAGTTTGTGTGATTATATTGCCAATAGAAAAATAGAAAAATTCATGGTTAGGAGCTTTAGAAGAAATGAAAACAAAACAAAGGAATGATGATATGTGAGTCTATAGGCGTTTTTAAAAGATATTTGTAAGTAAAAAAAAAAAAAAAGATAGAAAACAGTGCATTCGGTTTTCATGTTAATCTGATGATGGTGTCAACCCTGAAATATTGTACTGTTTCACTCTTCTTCACTATATTTTGGTCTTTAAGCTTTATGCTTCCCAGATGAGTTGAAATCAATACACATTTACTATAGGGCTTAATCTTAGTCTTTTTGATTTCATTTACATATTTTGACTTTTATCACAATCTGTTATCTAACGAATCAGCTCTACCCTTCTTTCTCTGCCTCAATCAAAGCAAAAAAAAGTTTATGAATTGCCCTGTTTGCAGTGATGTCAACTGGTCACAATGTTTCAGATATTTCTTAAACATCTGTTAAAGTATGTTACTGTGTTAACAAAAAAAGATACTTGACAAAGAGAAAACAAATGCTTTCCAGGTATTCTGTCAAGGTAGCACATGGCTTTGACATCTGTTAAGTGTGCAACTTGTCTCTCTGTTTTGTGTTACACACCAGTTCAGAGATTAAGCTGTGCTGCAGATTTTTTGGTAAAGTGTCAAATTACTGTTTAACTCTGTGTACTACATCAAGTCAAGTTTTATATTTATCTCAGTTGCTTCACTATGTTAGCATTGGTAGAGTTGTTTCTGCTTTCTGGGATTATTTGGGATTTTTCGTTTGCTTGTTTTTAGTACACTGAAAATCTGACATGTAGTTAGGTCCAGTCGGTACTGTCAGTGTGAAACATTTAGAAGAGGGGTTATCAAAAATGTCCCCTGTGAGGCGTTAATTAGTGAACAGCTTCTTCCCAGAGTCTCCCACCGCACCTGGGAACAAGCAACAGCTACCAGCTAGACGATGTTGAGCATTAGCCTGGTGACATGTTTCATTCGAAGGGATTGTGTTAAGAGAAGTATATACATGTGTGAATGGCAAATTTTATTTATTTCATTTTTGTTAAAACACACGCATCATAAGGAATAAATGAAGCTACTGTCCAAAACTGAGATTCCCCTGCGCAGACCTGCCTTTCTCACCTGTTCTCCTTCACATCCCCTGTCCCCCAAGCTTCACTTCCATGCAAAGCCTTCCACGAGGGCTGACCTTCCACGGTCAACAAAATCCGATCCTGACAGAAAAATACAGCAGGAAGCTACACAACGTGCAGCCTCTGGTGTCAGCTTTATGTATGCAGTTAGGTACCTTTAGGTAATATTTTTCAAGGACATGTGATATTTTCTTAGCAGGTTGAAGTTGAAGTTTACCGGAGAGATTCTAAGAAGCTTCCTGGCCTGGGAGACCCTGACATTGACTGGGAAGAGAGTGTCTACTTGAACCTCATTCTGCAGAAGGTAACAGTGATGCTTATCTAATTTTCATGGGCTGTTTATGCTAGAGAGGTTTCAGGGAAGGCTTTGATCTGTCCCCTTTCCTCCCTAGATTGGGAGCTTGATTTGACCACTTATGGAGGACAGAAAGAAAACATGGTTTCAGTTTTGCCTTTCAGAGTCTAAATTAACGTAAACTGAGTTGTTTATTATTTTTCAGTAGAGTCCTAATAGCTTTCCTCAAAAAACTTTAAATATATCCAGTGAAGCTGGGCTGAATTTTATGCTCTGTAACAAAGTTTTGCAAAATTGAAGGCATTGCAAGTTTAATAGTTTTTGAGAGTGAACGAGACTGGTAGACAAGCCACATTTCGTTAGAGTTCACAATACCGGTGCAGCTAAGAGAGGGAACTGCTAAGTGGAAATGCAGTAAAAGTGTTATGTATTACACTGGGTTTGCTGCTCTTAACATCAGAACTTTAATAAAACTTTTTTTTGGTGGTAGAAACATGAAGCTAGCACAAATTATTTCTTTAATTAACTTATAGGTTATTTAGTTGTTTAGTTATTGCATGTGTTACTTTGGTGCTTAGGGAAGCTGAATGTTACTACAGTCATTTGAGATCCCTTAAAAGTTTTGTTGATTATGATCTTGGAATGAGAGACTGCTGGCTCATTGCACACATCCTGGAAAATAAATTGTTTTCATTCTCTCTCCTTCCTCCCAAAAGTCTCATTGCAGAACTTCTCTGCAGAGACCAGTCTCTGCCTTTATTTGGTACTGAATAAAACCATAATCTGTTTGCTACAGTCAGAATTTAGACATGCTATTACAGCTAGGCATTGCTGTCCCGAGCTATCACGCTTGCTCCTTGCAAGTTTTTTCAGGTTGTTTGGCAGGCTACGTAAATGGTTTCTGACGTCTCTAATGTGTTGCTTGTGTTCATTAGTGTTTCTGGTTTTCCCTTTTCAAAGGGAGAGTATCTTTTCCATTTCTACCTTAAAGTATGCTTATGTGTGTGTTGTGCTTATTCCCCCAGCTGACCAGTAAGCTAGCATTAAACAATATTCACAGGAGTTTCTTTACCCATAGGTTGTGCACCTCAACAAGCATCTGTGCAAAAGATTTCAGTATCACTGAGTTAATAAACAAACACAGGCTTGCAAATTGTAGGAGTTTCAGTATAGTAAAGAGAATAAAGAAAACAGCAATACCAAATCGTCTTACTTTTTAGCCAGACAGCTAAAAAAAAAAAAAAAAGACAGAATGTGTTCTGCTTCATGCATATGAATGTTTTGTTTTTCTAACTCCAAACCTTTATTTCTCTATCCGGTTCCCTATTTTAGCTGGATTATGTGGTGACATGTGCTGTGTGCACACGCTCTGATGGAGGAGATATTCACATTCACAAAAAGAAATCTCAGGTGAGATTACCCTGTTATGACTGTGGATAAGAGGTTGCCATCCAGTATTACCTAGTCCTAAAAACTGTATCAAAACCAGGGCAGGGGTTCTCAGGCTGTGCTCTGACAGATGCATCCTTGTGAAGCATCTCAAGTCCTTGTCTAAGTGACATTTCCTGCCAGTCATCTAAATGTGAGATCTAAATGTCTTTTATAGCCCCTCTCAAAAAATTGTAAAGACTTGTGCATGCTTTCAAGATTTATATCTTTGCCTACTGGATTTTTGCGGGAGGGGGTTGCTGGGGGGAAGTATGCCCAACTGTTAACCAATCTGAGGGTAAACCTGAAATTGAGACTTGAGTTATGAGAAGCCTTCAGGGAAAGTCTGTAATGTAAGGCTATTAAGTGGTAGACAATTAACTGATTACCAGTTTATCTTTTTATTGGTTTATGAGATACTTGTTTCCTCCCTTAAACTGCTCGTTCCTTCCATCTCCACACCAAAGGCTTTTATTACTTGCTTGTGTGCAGCATACAGTTAATCCAGGGTTTAGCATAGTGGAGGAGACTGAATAGTAAGCATGGAGGGGATAGGAACAAGAAACCCCAGACTTCTTCACTCGGTTGCCAGCAGATCTTGCAACAACTCCTAGTTGGGAAAAATTCTTCTTTAAAAGGCTCCTGTTGCCTTTAAAAGGCTGTTTCTCCTAGGCATTTCCATTCCTTTAGTTCATTCAGCTGCTTGCATGGCCTTTCCTAAAATAAACCAATGCTCTTTAATCCTCTAATTTTGTTTTACCATTTTAAACGAATTGTTGCTTTGCTTGCAAACGAAACTAGCAACACTGATTATTGTACTTGTAATTTGCGTTAGGTGCGCAATTCCCTTCTTGTGGTGCTGTTGCCACATTACACCACTGAAGTAAGCCTTTTCTTTCTCATTGCTTTTTCAACTGTTTACTTGTCCAAATTTCACCCCCAGTTAACTTCTGCAAAATTCTTTTGAGAAAAATCTGTAAATATTACTTGCAGATTTGAAAACTGGGAAGATGAAGATGAGGGACCTGCCCTCACTGCGTGTGAGCAGCATACAGAATAAGGAGGAGGTTTTCTGTTCCTCATTTCTAGAGGCTCATACTGTGGGACTGCTTATAAATTTTTCTTTGTCTCCCTTTTTGTGGGAGAAACTCAGTACACATTAAAACTTACCAGTACATACTAGTAATGTTTCAACATCATGAAGTTGCTCTATGGAGAGAGAAAAGGCAATTCTGTATACTGTGGAAAGCATATTTGCAGTTCGGCATTTCATTGTAACATACACCACTGAGGGTCTTAGTTTTCAATGAACAAAAGCCAACTTTTTTGGATCTATATTACTGCTCTGATGGTTCTTGCTATAGAAAGCGTACATTATCCTGTCAGTGTGCAGCCAGATGTTGAATAAGTAGAAGCCCTATTCAGGCACAGGACTTGCTGTGCTACTCCAGACCTATAACAAAGCTATTGTGTTTGTACCAGTAGAGTACCTAAGGCATGAAACCAGGGTAAAAAAGTCTGACGTTCCCCTAAATTATTTTGCAGACTACATTGATTCTCTGCTGGCTTGACAATAAGATCTCGACAAACTGTATTTTCCTCAGGTGTGTCTGACTGGAGATGAGTTTGTGGGGTTTTTTTTGCTTTACATTGGATAGCATGAGAACAAGGATGCCTGGAAGATGTCCCTGTTTCAGGCATTGGTGCAAGTGTCATCTCTGAGGAGTCTTGTTGCTTTCTAATGCTGTTTCTTGTCATGAAGCAACCTTTCTTTTTAGTAATCTGTATTTAAATGTGCATGTAGGCTTCATAAGTACAAATAAGGAAAACCAACCCTCTCATGAATATCTAATATCCTACCCTTAGTCATGTTGTGTGTTGAATGGTTTGTAGCAAGAGTATTACAAGCCTGACAATCTGGGCAGATTCGGAGCTTTCAACACATTCAGAGTGGGCTAAGATTTGACAGGTTTCTTTAATTCAAAGCTTGCTTTGTAAACAGAGGTGGAAGCAAAGCAAGTTACTTGGTATGAATTCTTCTCCCTCTTTACCTGCTTTTTAATCTTGTTGGAATGATAAAATCTAAAGCCTTTAGCTATTTAAACATAGGTTGTTTTGAGGAGTGAAGTGACCAACAGAGTTCAGGAACTGCTTCAGAGGGAGGAACAAGCAAGAGGAAGCACAGTGGATAGAGAAAGCAACAGAAGCAGAAGATGAGGATAAGAAATCAACTGCTTGTCCTCCTGAGGGCCATGCTTCCCATTACTGAGTGATGTTGGTCTTACTGTGGTATTAAGCAAACAATAACAATGAAATTAACTGTACAAGCAAATAGTGTTAGGTCAGCTACTCCACAGTAACTTTCTTGCTGAGTGTGCTTTTACTTTGCAGCACATTGCAGTAACTTAAAGGCAGCTCAAGGTGGTTTTCCCTGTTAATGAAAAGGAGGATACCTTAGCTGTACCATAGGATGGTGAGAGGTCAGGTACACACAGGGACATCTACTGTGGAGCAACTAGTATTTGATAACTTGCATGTGAAAACTCAAGGATTTCACAAGTGTTGTCATTATTGCAAAACAGGCTGTAGTCAGAAAACAGCTCTGCTTTGCCTGCAGGACATCCAGCATCTCTAGCGTAAGTGCAAATGTTGGCTGACTGAGCAGTGTTGGACTGTAGTGTTTTGGTATTGCTTGCCTTGTATTCAGTGTGTCCATTCCAGAGTGCATTTAACTGAGAAGATGTATTTTTTCTCCATATCTTTCTCAGCAAGTGTTTGCATCTCCTAGCAAACACCCAATGGACAGTAAAGGAGAGGAGTCAAAGATCAGCTACCCCAACATATTCTTCATGATTGACAGTTTTGAAGAGGTGAGTTCCTTATTGTAGCGGCAGTTTTATCCTATTCTAGTCTTATGTCCTGATTACCTGTTTTCTGGTACCTTTTGAACAAATGTTGTTGGCTAATTGAGGGTTATCTTCCAGTAGTTTTTATTTTATTTGACCTTCCTTTTTAATGTTTGAAATCTGAGCTTAAACCTGGATTTTGGCATCCGTCTTTACGATGGGCTAAAGCAAGACAGGCTGATGTGAGAGCTGCTTACCTCAACACATGATTTGCAGCATGCACTGCCTGAAGTCTGTTTTTTTGAAGGCTGTGGTGGAGCATACAGCTCTCTTGCTTTCTGCCATTGACACTGAAGCTGCCTTGGGCCTAAGGAGAATCACGGGAATCTGAATATATTTGAACTTTAACAGCTGCAGTTTGCCTTGAAGTGTTTCATCTCGCATATTTGGCAGGTTTTCAGTGACATGACTGTGGGAGAAGGAGAAATGGTCTGTGTGGAGCTGGTGGTCAGTGACAAAAGCAACACCTTCCAAGGGGTGATTTTTCAGGGGTCCATCCGCTATGAAGCACTCAAGAAGGTCTATGACAACAGGGTAAGGTGCTTCTGAAAAAGTCCTTTGCAACAATGATACTCTGACCACAGTTTTTCTTTGCTGCTGAGGCTGTTACCTTTTGTCCTGTTAGATCATCTGCATCGTAGTCTGTCTTTTTTGGCTTTGAAAGTTACCTGAAAGCTAATGCTTTTGGCTCAGACAGCTGAGAGTATTCAGATCAGGATATATTACTCTGGTGTTTGCCAAAAGGAGGGAAGTTGATAAGTAGTCAAGAGTGCGACACAGGAATGGATCTGAATAGCAGTTCTGTCATTTTCTTGAAAGGTCATAGATATTTCTAGTTAATTCAGAGAAGGCATATTTTGCAGGGAGACCTTAAACGCTGATAACTACCTTGCTATATGTAAAACATGTTTTTCTTAATGTGTTTTGTGCTCATGGCTATTTTCAAAAGACCACTGTAGTTTCAATGCCACAGAAAGAAGCTTTCTTTGCTTTCCTTCAGAAACATGAAATGCCAACACTTTCACGTTCAAATTCAGTACTTAGTACTGAAGTAAAGAGAGTGCAAGAGCCAATAACCTTCTCAAACAGTTTGTTATGAAAACAGTGCTGAAAGATTTTAAAAAAACAAACAAAAAATCCCCACAATATCTACTGTGACTGTAAACTTCATTTCCCTTTGTTCCTACCCTTGTCAGGAGAGGTCCTGAATAATTTCCCATCTCCCCGTTTTAAATGTGAGTAGTTATACTCTTCCAGCAGCTTTTTGAGAGAACATGAAACTGAAATTGTTTCTCTGACCCACCATCATCTTATGGCCTCATGCAATCAGCAGGTGGGTTATTAAAATACATGGGAGAATGCCGAACCACTAAAGACAATGTAAGAAGAAAGCCCTGCAGTGGAAAGACAAGATTTGATGTGGTAAAGTTACCTCATAGCCTAGGAATGTCCTTTTTGACCACACAGCTACTTTACATTGCTTTGTTAGATGAAATAAAATTGTTAGCTCTTCAAATACTCAATTATGGCCGAAGGCAAAACTTTAAATTTGACCATTCTTTTAACAGGACAGAAGCAATCTCTCCATGCTTTTGAAGGTTACTTGATTTCAGTTGCGTTTGCATTAATTCTCAGTACGAGTTGTGTTACATGATAAGCATCTTGGCCCTTTCAGGCGATAAACTGCTGAAAGTTGTGATAAACCACTTTAAAATTATGGATAAGTCCTACGTATTTCACTTGGCAATACCTTGACTGTTTTCATATTGGTCTGTTCCTTTTTTCAGTTCTCAGTTCAGTTTTCAGTTCAGTTGTGTTAACTGGAAACCGAGCCCTTCTGTTGAGAGGGTTCACAAGCTATCAGGGTTTTGCAGTGAGCAATGCAATGCAGGTCAGTTGAGCATGGGTGCTGGTTCTTTATGCTTTGGCCTTGACAGTGTGGACACACGAATGTCCAAATTGACTTGCCACAAAGTAGTGACAGAATTGTGCAGTGCGCTTTGCTAGTTTGAAGCATCTCGTGTGTGTGTCTATTGCTTTTTGGACTTAAATGAGTGTCCCTGCACAGGCTGCGTTGAGTTGTGCAGGGACACCCGTGCCTGCTTGTGCTCTGGTGTGCCACGTTGTGTGGGTCTGGATAAAAGTCTTTTGTTTTATCTCAGTGTACCATTGGTTAACTCTGCCTTTTGGATAGCTGAAAGAATTGATTCTCTGAGCCTCTGGTTTTGTATGTACTTCCCTTTTGGACATCACTTCAGACTGTGGCTTAAAATGCTTCTTAAGAATCAAGATAATGATCATTATCCACTATGTTTTTGACTTCCATAACTGCTTTCAGAGAATGTTATTTTTTTGAAACATGGAGATGATATTACATGGTTTTCTCTCCTGTCTTGATGCATTGTAGGTGAGTGTTGCAGCTAAGATGGCTCAAAGAATGTCTTTTGGCTTTTATAAATATAACAACATGGAGTTTGTCCGAATGAAAGGGCCACAAGGGAAAGGACATGCGGAGATGGCAGTGAGTAGAGTTTCTACTGGTGACACTTCACCGTATGGGACAGAAGAAGATTCAAATCCAGACTCCCCAGTGCATGAGAGAGTAAGTAGCAGATACAAATACTGACTTAAGGTTAAGCATGAACATGTTTTGTTCCAAAGCCAGTAGACCGACTGAAGCTGGGATTAACTCACATCAGTGTTCTGAACTTGGGTTTGCTTGTGCATATTTTGAACATACTCAGTATATGCAGATGGATTTTTAGCACAGTTTCCCGTGAGCACATGCTGAATACAGAGATAACTGTATGATTCATACTTCTGCAGGAATGTTTTGTTGAAACAACACCAATGTTGATGCCAGGGAAAATGATGATTCTGCCTGTTTTCTATGAAAATTAATAGACTCCATTTCTGTACAAGATGGGATTTACCTAGAAGCGTAGAATATGTATGTTGTGTAGGTTGCTTGCTAAACCTCACAGGAAATGGTACCGTTAGGAGATTGTGTCACTGATGAATGCTGCCAATATGAAGCCTGTATAATACTAAAGCAAAGATTACGGATCTAGATGCAGTACCTTATTTATGTATATGCTTAATTTTAATGAAAGTGCAGTAAAATACCAATAGAATCAGTCCACAGATGCTATTTGGCCATTATTCAGTCCTAAGCCTTGTTTTCCATTAGGGCATTTTACCTAGTTAATGGGGATTAAGCAACATGTCTTCAAAATACCTGCACAGATGTGTCCTGACCTGGGCTGGGAAGTTCCTGAGGGATTCTAGTCTGGTTTCCTGGGTAGCATAGCTAATCTGTGTAGTTCAAAGGTCTGCAGGACTGCTTCTAAAGGTCTCCATGCAAGCTGTGTGATTTGTGTTTGTGGCTTCCTGAAAGGTGAAATGAGCTGCCAGCACAGAGCTTGTTAACTGGATGTGCCTGCTCTCTACAATAGAGATACAGCCTGGAGAAACCAGGCCTAGAGGGTCTTCCTGATCTTTTGGCTCCAAGACTTCCAGTGTCAATTGGAAAATGACAAAATACATGTGATAGTATATTATCGTTGCTTTTTGCTAATGGTTTTAATGGTGATTTGTCTGTTTCTGGATTTCCCTCCAGGTGTGATATGAAATGGCTTCAGAATTAAAAATAGAGACAAGCACAAATTAGAGACCAAGTGCACTAAAGAGAGGATCAGTTGGGTGGCAGAATGCTTCTGGTTTTGGGTTTTGGTTGGGGTTTGTTTTGGTTTGGTTTGGTTTTTTTACATTAATGATAGAGGGATGACATAGAGTGTTAATGCAGTGTAACACCAACCTGGCTTGTCTGTCATCCTCACTCACATGTCACCTCCCTCCTTATTTGTATGGACAGATGGGAGGAATATCAGATCTCATCTCAGGAAGAGTTATGGGATTATTAAATTAACTTTGTGAAGAATGAGAGATAGAAGTTGCTCATCTCCTTTAGCAAAGTAGTTATCCATATTTTTTTTTTCATTTGAAATGAAACTATTAAAATATTACTAGCAAAAACAATACATAAGCACTGCATTTCAATTCTTTCTGAAATAGATATGGTTGACTATAATTGTGCTTTATGCAAGAAGGATGGGTGTCTCTGTAGTTTCATCCCTAACGTGTTTCACCATAGACAATTATATCCTTGTATTTGTCATCACTTAGACTAACCAAATCATCAGGGGCCTCTCAACTTGTTTTTCCCCATCCCATATTGAAATATGATATAAATATAATTGTACGTTGACTTCACTTTTGCATCAGCATCTTGGGTTAAGTAATTGCCATGTAACCCTGCTTCACAGACACCATGACGTTTCACAGTAATCCCATGTGGCAGGGAAACTACTGCCTTGTGTTTGCTAAAGAAATGAAGATGTACAATTGTAGTATGTCCAGAACAATACATTGTTAGCCTATTAAGTCTTCTGAATTTCAACGTGCAAAAATAAGATTGACATTCTTGGTGCCTAAATTATTAATCTGTATTTTGTTTCTTTATGACTATAAATCCTTGTTAAAAGTGATCAGCTGAGGAGAGAGGTTTTTCATTATTCACGTAACAGGTGAGGGTGATGATATATCAAAGTATTTTCATCTTGATGAGAATCTTGAAGCCGAGAACTGTTCAGTTGACATTCTCTGGCCACTCTGATAAAACTTACAGCTAGATACTAGTCATGATTCTGATTTTTACACGTGACTTGCCTCGTGGCACATATTTGAGACTGATTATTTCTTACTAGAAGCACAGAACTTTTTAAACAAAACTTTCTCTAGCATTTCTTCTTTTTCTCTTTCAGGTCACTTCTTTCAGCACACCGCCAACCCCAGAACGCAACAATCGCCCATCCTTTTTCTCCCCATCCCTCAAGAGAAAAGTGCCCCGAAATCGAATTGCTGAGATGAAAAAATCCCACTCAGCAAATGACAGCGAGGAGTTCTTCAGAGATGATGATGGTGGAGGTGAGAGAAGTAGTATCAGCTAAACAGACTTGTCCGGAGAGAGCACAGAGCTATGGAAAGGGATCCCAGTGCTGGATTTTCCAAAAGGTTTGCAGTGTGAAAAACCTAGCTCCACAGAAAGTCTAATGCCAGTGCCAGTCTGAGAATGGGGTTATTCACAGGCTTAGCATCTTTTTGAAGGCTGGACACCAACAAATCCTACATATGTTCAAAACTTCTCTCTCCCTTTTATAGACACATTTGAGAGAAACTTGAGCAGGAAAGATCCTCCCCCTTTCACAGATACCACATTGTCAGGTGGCACTCTTCCAGATACCACAGTGTAGTGGGGTAGAGCATGCTCTCAAGGACAAGTTCTCTGAATTCCCTGATTAGATTCAGAGTCGGTTAAAGTTGGTGAAAAGGCATTTACTTCAACTGCCTTTGGATTAGTTCTGAACTCTCTAAAAATAAAACCTAATGGGTTTTTTTTTATATATATATATAATGGTTTAATGCCTTACGGAACTGTTCCTTTGAATTCTAGTTACTCAATATTAAACAACCAACAAGATAAAAAAATTGAGTCTTGAGTCTGATTCAGAATACAGTGTATAAATCCAGTTACATCACAGTTTTATTAGGCAGGAAACTCACAAATGTTGAAGTCCAAACTGCTTTTCATATGTTTAAAAACAATTCAGTAGAAAAGCCAAAAAACCTAACTATCTGTTGGCATGCTAATAGATAAACACAAAGGTAATTTCTGGATGACAAGTTCTGTTTGTAGTAGCGAAGGTATTACCCATCAGCGGTACTGGATCAGCTTAGCTAATGAGGAATTGCACATTAAAAAACAAGCTTAAGTGATAGTATTTAATTCAAATTCTGTGCAACTTAAACTGGTTGTAACTAATTTAGGGTTCCAACAATAGAAACCTTTCCTCATCTCTTTTTCCTTAATCTGCCTAGTCAAAACATCTATTATTTCAAATTAGATGTGTTTTAGCATGTTTTGCTAGGCAAAGGGTAGGGCTTGGGTCAATTACTGCATAGTGTGGGGAGAGGTCTGCTTTCCCAGATGGAGTCCTGCTTTTGGTATCTTTCTCCTGGAGGGTGCACAGGATAGAATGGAGTTCAAAGCATTTATCCAGCAGCCTTCGTAGGTGGTGGTTGTGACTTCTCAGTATTGTTTTGCAGGGCCTGGTAAGTAATCATAATGATGAACGTTCTTCTTATTTTCATTTTCTTTTCTTTCTAATATATTTATGGAGGTGCACTAGTCCTGGTGTTCCAGACATTTTATAGCACACACATAGAATACCGAGGAGAGTGGTTTCACTTAGTTATAAATCTTTTGACCTTATTGTTCCTGGTCCTAAAAATAAATAGAGGAATATTTTACCAGCTTATACTAGGAAGTTTAATTTATTCAAAGATGAGATTTCTACAAGGAGAAGTAACTAAAATGAGATTTCTTTACAAAGTTCAGAAACCTGAGTATCCTACCAGTGTTCGCTCAGGAGCTGCAGTGGTGAAATTCTCATTTCAGAGTGGGAAAGCTAACTTCAGTTCATAGAATCATAGAATTGTTTAGGTTGGAAAAGGCCTTT